CATGCACACACAAGGCAACACTCTCCTTCTTCCCCCTGAAAGGAAAAAAAAAATCTATACTCACCTGAAGAGTACAATCTTCCAGGGCTGAAAGACATGAGAACAAGGTTCCCTCCCCCACAGAAAAGGCATTTTGGGGGGATTAGATGTAAGGGAGGGGCATGGGGGTGGGTAGAAAGCTTGCAGGCAGAGTTTTAAAAAAAGTAAAATCATCAGTTACTAAACAGATGAACTGGTAACATTATGGAGATATCACAGATGAGAAATGGGGTCTGGATTCTTCAGGAAAGAAATAAACAGGTAAAATCATTTAAACACACAATAAATGCAAGGATGAAACTTTTCTTATAAATGAACTTAAAACATTTCCTGGGTTGTTACTTTAAGGCATAGGGAAGGAAGGAAGGGAGGGGGGGGGGGAGGGAGGGAGGGAAGGAGAGAGGGAGAGAGAGAGAGAGAGAAAATATATGGTTAGAATAGGTTAGAATACGGAACATTGAAGAGTTTGGGCGCTTTCATGTATTTAAGGTCCACCCATTCAGTCTCAGAAAGAGGAAAGTCTTTCAGCGCCACTAGATACTGGAGCTTTCCTTGGTGTTTATGAGAGTCTAAAATATCATTAATTTCAAAATGTTGTTCCCCCTGAATCATGAGTGACTCGAGTGGTGGAGGCAGCTTTCAGCGCAGAGAGGACTGAGTTTCTGATTTTAGCAAATCACAATGGAAAATTGGGTGAATGTTTCTAAGGGATTTCAGCAGGTCAAGTTCCCCTGTGACCAGGTGGATTATTCTTTGGATAGATGTCAACGTACTTCCCAGGTTTTTGATCCCAGTTTTTTGGAAGACTGTCTGGATTGCATGTATTTAATGGGCAGGAAGACCTGGTCTCCTATTTTTAAGTCTTTCGGCTTTGTTCATTTTTTGTCTGCATGCTTTTTATAAATTTATAAATTTCCAAAGTACCTGAAGGCCAGACAAGGAATAATGGATGGAAACTGAACAAGAAGAGATTCAACCTGGAAATAAAGAGAATTTTTCTGACAACGAGAGCAATCAACCCACGGAACAGAAGTTGCCTTCAGAAGTTGTGGGAGCTTGAGAAGAGGGACCAGCATCTTAACTGTACACATGCAAACTTCCGTTCTCTTGAGGAGCGATCATATCTTACCACTTTGGGCATCTCTTCGGAGATTAGAACTGTCTTGGATGGACAGTGAAGAATGAGAGCACTGGCAGATGTGAACGTCTGCAATAGCTTTCGACCCAGTTGGCCAGGAAGACAGCCATTGCGAGCTGTCAGAGTTGAGGTGGCTTCACAAAAGGAGAGAAGAAAAAGGCTTGGAACATCTGGGTGAGATCATGATAATACCCTGGGGCACACCGTATTCAAAAGTTTGTTTTTTCTCCCGGATTGATTGACTGAGAACGAAGAGAGAAGGGAAAAGGTGGTGGGAGTGGATTACCCCTCCAGGAAGCGAATGCCAGTACAAATAAATGACTCATCAAATAGTTTTGGAAGGATGGTTTGGAGAAATAAATAGCAGTCTGGACAGAGTTGATTGCTAGTGAAAATTTAAAATCTTGATATTTAATATTTAAAGAATTAAATTCGGAACTCTGAGGTGTTCTTGGATTTTTTTTCTTTCCCAACTACTCTTTTCAGTAACTGTTCAGTAACAACAGTGCCATCTAGTGGCAACAGAGAGAATATATTACAAAAAACAAAGTAAAATTAGAAATAATGGCCTTGAACAACACATAGTGACAATATGTGGTGATAAAAACTGCCACATAAGACAAAACACCAGCTCTGGATTCGTCTTTTGTGCTTTTGTTTTCCACTTTCCTGATTATAGCTTTGGAGCTCTGGAATTGTTTTGGAACTGTTTGGAACTGTGGAGCTTTTGTTTCCGGGATTGGGCGGCCTAGAAATTTAACAAATAAAATAAATAAATAAATAAATATATTAAGAATGGAAGTTATTTTATTTAGGTGGATCTGTACCTGATTCCTTTTTTAAAATCAAATCGTTCTTGATTTTTCCCTGTAATTTTCCACTTAGTGGGTACTTTTCCTTTTTATTTTTTCTCTCTCCTTTTTCTCGCCTCCTTCTGCTAGAGTTGGAGGGAATAGGGGGGATTAAAGATATATTTTTATTTCACAATTGTGGTCAATTTTTTACTATTTTCTCTCTCTTTGTTGGAATTTGGGTTTTTTTTTGTCTTTCTACCCTTCACTGCAATTGGACTAGGGTAACAAGAACCTGAAGCTTGGAGGAAATAAGGCATAAAGACATATTTTCATTTTACAATTGTGGTCAATTTTTTTACTATTTTTCTTTCTTTGCTCTTTTTGTTGGAATTTGGTCTTTTTTTCTTCCTCTCTTTTTATTTTATTTTACTTTTATTTTACTACTACAATTGGATTAAGGTAACAAGAACCTGAAGCTTGTCCTTCCTAATCACGGCTTTTCTCCAGGACTTGTAATATTTGATTTTTCATAACATACAGCTTGACCCCCACCCAGCTAGGCCACCTTGAATTATGCATTCATTTTGGTGAGATTGAACTATTTGTCTCCCTCTAGTGCTACTTTTAGAGTATCCACTATGCCCCAGTTTGGGATTTTGCTTTCCCCTGTGCTTGGGTAGTGCCGCAAGCTTGTGAGACAGAATAATCAGTCTGACTATTTCCTGCTTGGAGCTGTTTTAATGGGAGATCCTGGATAGTGCATCAGCTAAAAAATCCTTTCTCCCTGGGAGGTATTGGAGAGTCAGTTAAAGTACTGAGTCCACTATTGCTTGTGTGATAATCTCTGGGGCATTTTTAGGGCTTTTAGGTTTTGGTGGTCAGTCCAGACTTCTAAAGGGCTCTTGCTCTCTTCCTGGCAATGCACTGCCATAAGCCTTGTTATCCCAAACTATCCACTATAATTCAGTATCAGTTCAATTCCTGGAGATATACACAAAGGTTGTAGGGCACCCTGGCTGTTGCTTTGTAAAAGAACTGACCCCATGCCACATTGCTAGCATCCACCTGAATAATAAATGGGGCATTTGAGTGTTTTAGCACGGGTTCACTATTAAACAACTGTGCTGGGCTGCGGAGGCTGATGCAGTCTTGGATCAACCTCCCACATTGCCTGCTGTGCTGGATGTGGTCATCCCACTGGTCACTAAGGTTGGATATGGCTGATAGTCTGGCTGGGAGGTGAGGGCAAGGGCTTTGCACACCTTGAGGCTTTTGAAAACCCCTTGCATAAAGTTGATGGCTTGTTCCATCATTCAGTCAGCCTAGACATGCTTTCCACCTGTGTCTTCCACCACCACCACCACCACCACCTCCCCCTCCTCCTCCTCTTCCTCCTCCTCCTCCTCCTCCTCCAGTTCTTTAAGCTCCATTCTCTGTTTCCATTGGTGGCTTCTGTGGCTTCCACAAGTAAAAGTCACTCCCCACAGACTTGTCTTCCCTGTCCTCATTCCTTCTGATGCCCAGGGACCACATAGATCTTAGTGGATCACAGCACATCTCCCTGTTTCTAGTCCATTTGGAATGACACAGACTGCACAGAGACTTGGATGAAGGCCCTCCCAGAATTCAATCTCTTCCTGGTCGCTCTCTTGAGCCAACATTGCATGCATGGTCACAACAGTAGAGGTGATGCCCTCAATTGCAGATTCAACTTCATGTTGGACCTGTCCCATCTGATCCCTTAGAGAAGTAAAATTCTCAACTCCATTTGGTTGAAGTGAAAAGCACTTTTACTAAGAGATGCTAATTGCAGTAAAGTTAAGCAGAATCTAAAGTTCCCACACACCTATACAGAACTATACCTCTGGTTTCCCCTGATCCCCCCCTCCCCATGGTCCATCCATGTGTAGTCAATTTGGCATTTCCCAGATGTTTGGGGAAATGCTGAGGTGTTTGGTGAAATTCCACTCTCGGGGCAAACAGCCTTGAAGATGCCAGTATGCCACTTCCAAAACCCTCTGTTCTTCCTCAACTGCCAATTTCCCCATCCCAATTTCTCATAATAAAGGTATACAGCTTTATAGCCCATTTGTTCCTCCCTGCCTTTCCCAATTGATGGCAGAATGTCGGCAAGGCATCAAGCCGAAACTGGTGGATCTGACACATCGATAAACAGAAACAAAATGCAATTGATTTTTTTCCTCATATGAAAAAGGTTTCAATCTTTGAGCTTAACACTTATGATTTCTACTGTAGTGTTATTTATAAATGTTAAAAAAGAGAAAAATAACAATTGTACCAGGACAGACTGATTTCAGCACTACTCATCTCTTACCATTTGTTTTCTATTCATTTTTACAGTACACTTTTATTTGCTAAAAATAATATATCGGTAGGACTTACTTAGTAATAACAATTGGCACTTTCCATTGCTAAAGGAAGCAGTCATAAAGCATGATATTTGACAATATGAGTTAGCAACAGCAGTTATGGCAGTCCCCAATTACTTTTAGTTAAGTGAAGACTGTATGCATTATTAAGTGTGGATCTAACATGAGCATCATCATAACTTCTGACTTCCTGCAAACTTCTCAATTGACCTTGCGTGCTACTTTACATTGCTACTCACATAGCAACAATATAGGTGGCTGTAAATTAGAATGTCCTTTCTGAAAAAGTAATAAAACTTTGGAACTAAATCGTTAAGCTTACTGCAGTTGTTAGTAAACTGACTTTTCCAAACTTGCTAGGGTTATCCACCACAATTGCATTTTTGGACCAAATCTCAGATTTAAGCTGAATTAGTACAATGAATATTATTAATATAACATTAGGAAAGCAACCCTAGTTACTTGTAAGTAGGTGTAGGGATTCCTCTGGCTCTGCAGTTCATTGACACTTTTGCATCTGGAGACTCTTCTGGGTACACGGTATCAATGGGCTGCTCTTCAAAAATTGGTCCATAACCTTTTAGTTCATCTGCAAATAGATGGCAAGGCAATTGAATAATGTCACCCAATTAGTACATATAGGATGCAGACAGTTTAAACATTTCTAAATTATTTTAGAGATGCAACACAGGAACAACCACAAGCTATACTTTCCAATAAATTATTTTATCTTGCCAGTATAATAGCCATTAGAAAATAGTGTGAAGCAATTTCAGTTCCTTTTAATATCTTACTGCCTTCTAGGAATTGCCTCCAAGTCAGCAATGCCTATTGAACAGCATATGCTTCCTTTTCCCATACTGCCCAACGTATTTTGGTGTTGGCCAGCTTAAGGAGGTCTAGGTGTAGAGTTGCAGTATTCCCTTCACATTTTTGTGAGCAAAACAGCCCTCACCACCTCATCACTTGCATCGGCTTGTATTACAAATGGCTCCTCTGGATTTGGGTGCTTAAGGAAAAAGCCATTTAAGCTTTTCGAAAGCCACTTGGCATTCCATAGTCCAAGTAGGCAGCTGGGTTGGTTTGGGTTTCGCCCTCCCCACTCCACCGATTTTTAACAATTTGGTGATAGACAGGTCTTTCTGTGTGAACAAGGGGATGAATTGGCAGTAGAATTTGGCTAAGGACAAGAAGCTCTGCAGTTGCTTTCTGGTCCAGTGCAGGGCTTCCCACTCTAGAATGGCCTTCACACTTTTGGGGTCCATTTCCAACTTCTTACTGGACATGTGATACCCAAAGTAGTCCCAACTGGTTTTGTGGAAGTTGCACTTGTTAAATTTCAATAGTTTTCGTAGCACCTCCCGCACTAACTTCATGTGGTCTTCCATTGTCTCAATAAATGAGGATGTCATTCGGAATCTGCCATTCGGAAACCTGAGTCTGAAGTGTTTTTTTGAAACAATGTATCCTTTGTCCATTCCTATTTAACTTCACTGACTTTGTAATGGAAGGGTTTGGAACTTGTTTATAAAACCTGATAAAGACTCAAGGGCATGATCAGTGTTTTGCTGGTGCTCTTGGAAAATATTTTGGCAAGAGAAGGAAAAGGAAAGAAAAAGACAAGAACTCTTCCACTTTGAAAACCACAAAAGGACTTGTGCTTAAGATTTAAAATAAATATAGATATATTCTTCAAATTTTTTTTGACAGGCTAGAGTGGCAGTAATTATCAGATTCCTCTTTTTCTTTACATTTCTTTTCTTTTGGAAAAATGGATCAATATTCAGATGAGGAATTTCAAAACATCTTGGCTGGACTTCAAAACATTGTAGAAGGATTTGAGAGATTTGACAAGAAATTGGATAGAATATTGGGTATCACACCAAAAGATGATGGAGCTGGAGCCCCCAAAATTAAAGAAAAGAAAGAAAATACAGAAAATAAAAATAAAATAATAGATGAACTCATTAATGGAGTAAATGTGGAAAGAAGGGAAGNACAAACAAACAAACAAGAAACAATAAAGTTAAATTACAGGTGGTCCTTGACCTACATTTAGTAACCATTCTAGTTACAATGGGACTGAAAATTAGTGACTTATGACCATTTTTCAGACTTACGGCCATTGCAGCATCTCCACGGCCTTGTGATCAAAATTCAGATGCTAGACAACTGACTCATATTTATGATGGTTGCAGAGACCTTCAACCTGCAAAAGTGACCCCCTTTTGCTACCTTCTGACAAGCAAAGTCAATTGGAAAGCCAATTATAAGTGTGTTACAAACTTAACAACGGCAGTGATTCACTTAACAACTGGGCCAAGAAAGGTGGTAAAATGGGGCAAAACTCATTTAACAAATGTTTCACTTAGCAACAGAAATTTTGGCCTCGATTGTAGTTATAAGTTGAGGACTACCTATACTTCATGGCATGACCACCTCTGCAATTTTGAACCCACATTCCCTTCTGCTGAAACACAAATATGTGAGATTCTAATATGTTTTTATCAGCAGTGGTGGCACAGTGGTCAGAATGCAGTATTGCAGGCTAACTCTACTCACTACCAGGAGTTCAATTCTGACTGGTTCAAGATTGACTCAGCCTTCCATCCTTTAGAAGTCGGTAAAATGAGGGCCCAGATTGTTGTGGGCAATAGGTCGATTCTGTAAACCACTATTGGTATTGCTATTATGTAATCACATATACCCAATATCACTGGGTTCAATTACCACACTAAGCTATGATGGTTATGGTTTTGTCAGGCACAACAAATCAAGACCAGGAGGAGGAGCCAACGTCGCGACGATACATCATGCAGACTTGACAGTCCGAGTCCACCGATGACACTTTTGCCCCTGGACGATCCGGTAGGACCTAAACCATCCTGAAGAGACAGTGACTACAAAGACAAAACCTTGCTGGTCTCAGGGATACCGCAAAGTCCCTGATCGACCCAAGGGAAGCGCTTCCAACTGGCAGCAAACAGGCGGTCCCCAGGCTGACAAAGTCGGAGACGGATCCGGAAGGAAAAGAAGAAGTGAAAGTGTTGCATCTGGTGAGGTTTTTTTTGTTTTTGTTTTACTTTCAGAAGATTGCCCTAAGAAACCTTTTTTTTAAAAAGATATTAGTCCTCTAAGTAAGAATAAAGCAGCGAATTTAATCCTTATTGGACTGCCTTAGAAAGTTCTTTGCTCTTGCTTGTAATGATGTTTTGTGGATTGAAGTGATTGCAACATTTCCTCTTTCTCTGCTTGAAGTGAATGGACTGATTCCCCTCCCCCACCCTATTTTTTACTACCTTAATTCTAAAACTTTTTTTATTTTAACAAATTCCTCCTTCTATTAGTTATAAAATCATATTAAAGATTCTTAAAGAAAAAGTATTTAAAAAAGTTGAATCTGCCAGTCGGAAGCCTGAGTCTGAAGTTTTTTTTTCTTGAAGCAATGTATTCTTTGTTCATTCCTATTTGACTTCACTGACTTTGCAATGGAAGGGTTTGGAACTTGTTTATAAAACCTGATAAAGACTCAAGGGCACGAACAGTGTTTTGTAGGTGCTCTTGGAAAATATTTTGGCAAGAGAAGGAAAAGGAAAGAAAAAGGCAAGAACCCTTCTACTTTGAAAACCACAAAAGAACTTGTGCTTAAGATTTAAAATAAATATAGATATATTCTTCAAGAATTTTTTTTGACAGGCTAGAATGGCAGTGATTATCAGATTCCTCTTTCTCATTTTCTTTATAATCTATTTTCTTTTGGAAAAAAATGGATCAATATTCAGATGAGGACATTCTGGCTGGACTTCAAAATATTTTAGAAGGATTTGAGAGATTTAATAAGAAATTGGAGAAACTATTGGGTATCACAGCAAAAGATGATGGGGTTGGAGCCCCAGAGATTAAAGAATGAAAATACAGAAAACAAAGATAAGATAATAGATGAACTCATTAATGGAGTAAATGTGAGTGAAAGTGGAAAGAAGGGAAGCTGGAAAAGTGACTTTGACAATTTGGAGCTTTATCCCAAACCCCAAGATGCAGGAGAAAAAAAAAAGAGCGAAAAGGATGGAGTTAACAAGACAAATCTATCCAGAAATAAGTTTGATAACCAAACTTAAGTTTATTTTAA